CAGCTGCAGGATGACAGGGTGATAGGGCTGCAGAGTGACACGGTGACAGGGTGACAGGGCTGCCTGGCTGCAGGGTGAAAGGGCTGCAGGGTGACATGAGGACAGGGCTGTGGGATGACAGTGTCATACAGCTGCAGGGTGATGCKGTCACAGGGCTGCASGGTGACACGGTGACAGGGCCACAGGGCTTCAGGGTGACACGGTGACAGGRTGATGTGGTCACAGGGCTGCAGGGTGACACGGTGACACKGTGACARGCTGCCCGGCTGCAGGGCCAGGGCTTTGTGCCCTCTCGTGGCTGGAGCTCGGCGGTCGCTCAGGCGCCGCTCGTCCCGCACCGGAGCTTTCCAGAGGGAGGGAACAGCCGGAGATCCCTCCAGGCTCCCCGGGGAAAGCCGGGCAGGCACGGTGACACCGAGGGAGCGATTTGATAAACTCGAACCCATCCAAGCCGTGGCACTCGCCAGCTCTGGTTGGGTTTTTCGCAAGCGATTGGAAACAGGAGCGGGAGGGAGGGAGGGAGGGAGCCGCTCCCGCTCCCCGTTTGGGTCGGTGTTGAGGGGGGAAATGTTGTTGTTGGAAAATGCCAATTTGTCAAAATGGAAGGGTTTGGCAAGAACGGATCCGTTCTGACGAATTTCTGTCCAAACACAGCCAGGGAGACTCTGGAAAGGAGGGAGGGGGGAGCACGGGGCGCTCAGTTTCAGCGTGGGGCTGGTGCCACAGGACTTCTTGGCACCGCCAGCTCCTCCCAGCGCAGTCAGAGGCTTCCTTTCGCACCTCCGAAATTTGGGAAAAAGGCTTAAAACTTGAGCTTGTGGCTGGGGCCAGGCGCCGAGGGCTTGGGATGTGCCCAAGGTCACCCCAGCTCTGCGTCTGGAAGAGCTGGGGGTGCCCTGCAGGAGGGTCCCTGGGTTCAGCCCAGACCCACCGGACAGGCAGCTCAGGCAATTGAGGACAAGCAGCTCACATGAAGGTTTTTAACAAAACCGGGATATTTTGGRTTGAAATAAAGGAGTTCTGCAATGTTCTCCCCGTGCTCGGTGTCCTTGGCTGGCAGTGGCCACACTCACACTTCCRTGGCCACCCYGGGGTRGCTGTGCCAGGGCCTCACCACCCTCAGTTGTTCTCTGAAGGACAACCAGGGCTGGTTTTCCCCCTGCCAGGTCCTGGCAGGAGTGAGCAGGTCTTTGGGAAGCCCCAGACCCAGCTGGTGGCTGCAGCCAGGTCACTGTGGCCACCTGGAGGGAGATGCTCCATGGAGGGGCTGGAGAGTGGCCAAATCCTGGTCAGAGCAGGGAGATCAGCTCTTCCCATCACTGGCTGAAATCCTGGTCCCAAAGCGGGGTAAGGGACAAGTGACAAGTCCCCAAACCCAGCCATACCAGCACAGCACCACAGGAGCTCCACACTCCCTTGGCCACCCTTACCCCATCCCAAAATAAGCAGGATGGGACCCCTGCCACCCCAATGTGACCCTCCTCTCGACCCCCCTCTGCCCATCCCCACAGGCAGGCGGGAGCTGCAGCATGGATGCTCCGGGATTTCTGGGATTTCCCCAAGTTTGTTATTACAAAGAAAAAAAGCAAAAGGGCTCGGGGGAATCARCGGGGATGAAAAACGCTTTAGGAGCACGGGGGATCATTTAGCAGGTCACCTCCACGGCGCGCTTTGCCAGGCTGATAAAGGCGAGCAAACTTATTAAAGGCGGGCACAGCTTGATTGGAAACGGCTGCTCCCAAACAGCCAATTAGCCCGGGCCGTCCCAATCCAATTAGGGAGGCTGTTCCCCTGATTGCAGCGAGTGTTGGACAAATACAGCACAACTGCTCGGGTTCAAAGAGCAGCCCATAAAAGGCAGCTCGGGGAGAGGCGAGGCGGGGAGACAAATTCTGTCCTCAGGATGCAGGTGGCCCTGTCCCCAGGGATGGCTGAGTGACATTCGTTGGAAAGGCAGCCCTGTGATTGTCCCTAAAGTCCCACAGGGCAAGGAGACACGGTGACCCTCCACTGTGGTGCCACCATGAGCTCTCTGTGGGGTCATCCAGACAGGGATGAAACCGGAGCTCTGGCAATGCCACCGCTCTGCAGCCCCATCCAGGGTCTCAGAGAGGCCTTTCCCCAGGACCTGGCAACCTTTTTTGATTTATTCACAGGGTTTTGGGGGAAAAAAACATCATCAGTGTCATGTTGGAGGGGGACTTCTCCTGATGCTGCAGTGGGGAAAGGCAGAGTGGAGAGGGAGGAACCCAAATGRGACCATCAGGGCTCTGCCAGAGCTCAGCAGAGCAGCTCACAGAATCGGGATACGAGCAAGGAGGAGGGATGGATCACATCTCCTAATTCGGATCACGAGCGCAGCRCACGGAGCTGATCCCCTCCACACCCGGCTCCCCATCACCCGGGGCAAAGGAGACACCAAAAACTCATCACCGAGGATTAAAAACCYTCCAAGAAGCTGAGCTGGGCTGGGGGGGCCTCCAGCAGCACYGCAGCCACCCCGAGCCCCACCACAACCGCTCCAACGGGTTCGCTCCAGAATCCTGGCACGCAGCCACGGCTGGGGTGGAGCCCGGCCCCTGTTATTAAAATGTGTGACAGCAGCTCAAGATGGAAAGTGAAGTTGTACATTCTCCATCTGAAACTCCGGGAGGAATTTCAAGCAGGGGAATGCAATTTCCAGCCTGGAGGAGAGCCAGCAGCGCCAGGGCGAGATTTTTCTTAATATGGTTTTGCAAAACTCGAACACAGA